AGCTCTCCCACTCGGAGGACGGCCCGGATCAGCAGCCGGGACGGCCCTTTGCTGCCCCACGCGCACATCGTGGAAAGGCGCACAAAGAAAACCCACACGTTGTAAAGAGACTGATTTGTATTTATTCACGCAGGGACCTGGGATGAGGCCAGAGGTGGGGCTGAGCGCGCTCACCAGAGTGCGGGGCAGGCACGTGGATTAACTGAAACCCGTGGCTGAGGGGCTCCGGGGAGACAGGAGGGGTCTGGGCTGCCCGGTGGGCCACCCCCGGCCGGGGATCGGACTCAGGCCACAGTGGCTGGCAACAGCTTGGTAGCGCTGCGTCTTACCTTTTGTGACCCCCGGGCAGGGGGACCCCCAACCCAAGCACTTTAAAAGGGGGGGAGGGACACTCCCCCTAGAGTGGCTGGTTTCAGTCTCTTACAAGGAAGCCCTTGCACGTGGCTGGGTGCCTGTCATGCGCCGCCAGCACACCTCAGCGGCCCCTGGGGACGCGCCCGTCGCCTGGAAGAAACCCAGCCACGGCTCTCCCTGCGACAAGCCCGGAGAGCGGCTCTCGGCAGTTGCACACAGCAGCCCGTGGCCTGGGTCTCTGGGGTCTCATGCCGGCGACTTGTCGAGAAGTCGCAGCACGGGACGTCAGCGCCTCACCCGTGGAGTCTCGCTTGTCTACGTGGAGCAACCTGGGACAGCCAGGGCCTAGTCTGCACCCGCGGCTGAGCCACTCAGAGTCGGAATCGCCAGTCGCAGCACACGGGCACGTGAGGCTGACGTGGCCCGCGCAGAGGGGCGCTGCGTAAGGCGCGGGCAGGCTGCCACTTGGCTCCCGCCAGCCAGGTAAACGCGGACCGGTCACAGGCAGCGCCGCTCCCCATGTCTGAGGAGCCGCTGCGCGTGCGGGACCGCCTCGCCTCCGCCGCCTGCTGTCTCTCAGCCTTGAGAAGCAGCCTCAGGGCGAGGTGGCGTCGATGGCGTGGACTTGCCGCTGACGGGGAGCCTCTTTCGTGTGTCCGTTGGGCATCTGTCCGGAGAAGCGGCCATGTAACTCTTCTGTCCATTTTTTTCTTACTTTTTAAAGCACTTAGGACATGTCTCTTACATGATTTATCTTTTTGACTTGTATGCACGGTCGCTGGCATGTTGCAGACACGTGCGCCAGTCACCGTGCCCCAGCCTGGTAACGCCCTCGCACCGCCCCTCACCCTCTCCCCGGGCTAGGCTGCCCTTCTGGAACTGCCCACCAGTGGGGTGATACCCACGTCTTCTGGGGCTTGACTCCTCTCACTCAGCACGCTGCTGGGGGCCCGTGTTGAGGCGGGTTTCAGTACCTCTCTCTCTCCTAGTGCTGAGCGTGTGTTACGTGGGCACGTGCACTGGCCTCCTTCCCACTCGATGGCCATCCAGACCACAGGAGTAGCGCTGCTTGTCCCCGTACGTGTTTTTGTGCAAACACTTTTCACTTCTCTTGGGTCCATGTGGAGAACTGCTGGGAGCGCTGGGCCCTCGCCAAGGGGCTGCAGTGATGCCCGCGGCCACCGGCAAAGGCCAGGTAGGTGACCCCGGCTGGGGCCACAACTCGCGCTGTGCTGCAGGAGCCGGCTGGTGATCGCTGGTGGCACTGAGTTTACCCCTGTGCTGTCAGGGCGGCTCCAACAGACCTTGTTCAAAGACCAATTAAGAAACTGAAATGTATGAAAGATCCAATTTAAAATTTTTCCATTTTCATTTCTTTACTCCTTTAAAACATATGGTCTGGTTAGAAGACATAGGATTTATTTAGGTAGCAGAAAATGTCAGCTCATATGACTCATATCCTACCTAAATTTTCCCTTTGGAAATTTTCCTCTGAAAGATGAGTAATTTTATTTGTGCTGGATCAGTCCTACAAGTTGTCGCAGTTACGGGTTTGAAACAGAAGTCAGTTGGGGCTGAGATTCAAACGCCCCACGATGTGGGCATCCCAACACTTTAACAAAAATCTGAAATTATCAGAAAATTCCTAGTGGTCTTCATGGCTGATGAAGCATGCAATGTAAGCGGCATTTTTATCCTGAAGAGAACGAGACGTCCCCAGGCTCCCTAAATGCAAAGGCGGCAAGAATGTAAACAACGAGCCTGGCGCGACTGGAGCCGAATTCCGAAACAGACTCTCCAGCAGATGGGGTGTGCGCACTGAGAGGGGGGCTGGCGCCAGAGGCCGCGGTGGGTTCAATGCAACAGTTTTGCCAGGTCTTTCACTGTCCTCTGAAAACAGTTTTTAGACTAGTGAGTCTGCACATCGGAATTACAGGAGAAGCCCCAAGGGCGAAAACAATGGAACATCCAGCAACAGAATGTGCCCGGGCTCCATTCAGTACGACGTGATTCACGGGGACTTTACACTCACCAAGTGTCTCGGGGGCACTCACTCTGCTCCTTGCACTGTGCCGAGCGTGACGCCTCCTTCGGCACAGTTCTGTCGGTGAGACAGGAAACTGCCATCAGGAGGCAGCGGCGTGAGGCCGAAGCCAGCAGATGTGAGCTAGGAGCAGGGGTGCAATCCTGTCACCGAAAAGGCGCGTGGCCCCGAAGCCTCTAGCCGCCCCCGCCCCGCCCTGCTCAGCCGCTGTACAGTGGGACAACGATGGGTGCGAAAATCAGACGAGCTAATCTCAGAAGTCTCTGGCACACAGATGCCGAGCACCAGCCGTAACGCCGCAGCTCTCCACGCCGGGTCTAAGTCTACGGCTGCCTGCTGCCGACTCTGTCCAACCATGATGAAAACTAAAAGGAGTGTGACATTCTTTTTTAAAGGTTTCTTTGTGCTACAAGAGCTGGGGAGCACTGAGCCGGGAGCAGGACAGGTGGATCCACCGAAATACACTGCCGAGGGGCAGCGGGGAGACAGGAGGGGCGTATGGGTCACTCCCTGGCCAGGCTCAGTGCTGCGGGGGCTGTGGACGGCTTCAAAGCGCTGAGACTTAACCCCTTTGCCATCAGGTGTTTTGTTTTTGTTTTGTTTTTTTAAAGTAAAAGCAGAGTGGGTCAAGGCGTCTAAACTGGCCCGGCTTCTCCTCATTTCGCATACGCCACGAGGACACATTTCATGAAAGAAGGAATTAGTAAATCGGACTTCACTGCAATTAAGAGCTGCACCTCTGGAAAAGACACTGTCAAAAGAATGAGAAGCCAGAGCGGGAGAATATGAAATTGTGAAAGACACATCTGAGGCGAGACGGTTCTTCAAAACACAAAGGATGCCTGAAACCCAACACGGAATCAAACACTCGGTGCGGACACGGGCGAGTGATCCGACACCTCGGCGATGACTGAGACGCCGAGTACAGGTGCACGTGTCCGCGCTGGCCGAGGCGCCCGCAGACCAGCAGGACGAGACCGCACGGCGCCCTGCTGGAGAGCCGGACTCCCCAGCGCCGGCGCGGAACCCCGTCACCCTGTCACCCCGGCAGTCCCAGGCAGCCTGGCGCCGCCTGAACAGGCCTTTGGCACCCGAATGAACGGCGCTCTGTCCGCAACAGGAAGCTCATTCGCGCACAGCCGCCCGCGAGCCCCTCTGACGGATTCTCCGGGGCCGCCTCACGGGAAGGGAGATTTCCGCACCGGCGAGTCTCTCCCCCCGAGGGAAGCACGTTCCAGACGCCCCGCGAGGGCGCGAACGCGGCGCGGAGC